CCGCTGGCGCTTTCCCCAGACCCTGTGAAACAAGCCCAGCCAAGCCTCCAGCGCAGCGGAGCTTCATTGCAGTGGGAAACCCGGGGCGCAGGCGAAGGAGTGGCAAGGCCCTGGGGGGCTCAGACAGTGCCCCGGGGGCAGCAGCCCTTGGGGCTAGGGGTGACACAGTGGCTTGGGGTGTAAGCCGGCACAGGCAGGACACAGGAACACCCACAAAACCACGGTTGAAATGCAAAGAGTAAATTTATTTTTGCTACCTCCCCAACTAGAGGGTCCCCCAAGCAGCACCCAGGCAGAGGCACACAAGTGGGGCTGCAGGCACTGCTGAGCTCCATGCTCAAGGATCACGGAACCTGCTGGTTTTGCCTCTTTATCAGGGATTCATGCAGGTGTAGTTTACCACTGTGCTTTGATCTTTCCCACAGTAGGACAGCTTGGCCCCTCTGGCCCTTGGCATCCCTCAGCCCCATGTCCCTGTCCCAGCCGGTGGCTCCTGCCTGTTTGGCCGCAGCTCCCCCCTCACTGTGACATGTCCCTCGCTGCAGGGAGCAGGGGGCATGGCAACTCTGTGAGGGATCCTGTGTGCAGCAGGGCTCATGGTGGGATGTCACTCTGCCCTCCTGGGCACCCCAAGGACAGGACAGGTGCTGGCACACCATGCAGCATGCCCAGTCTGCTGCAACACATCCAGGGCAGCACCCAGTGCATGCGATGCATCACAGAGAGCACCCAGTGCAACAAGTAGTGCACCCAGGTGCTACATACTGCACCCCGTGCACCATTTAGGTGCACCCAGTGCGCTGTTTAGTGCACCCAGCACACCACGCTCACCTAGCACCCTGCAGTGCACCCAGCAGCCTGAGGTGCAGTACAGCCACTGTGTTGGGGGAGGACGAGTGAGGCCATGGCAGGAAGCAGGGCTGGGGGTCCCGGGCATTTGGCAGAGGCAGGGTGGGGGTGAGGAGCGAAGCCTGTGGGGCGGCAAGGCTTTGGGCAGTAGGGATGCAGAGGAGGCAGGAGTGCAGGAGTGTGTCACACTCCCATGTAGCTGTTCTTGTAGGGGCTGTGCTCGTGCGGGGCAGCCGGGGCAATCACCGACTGCAGGTGGTTGCTGCTTTCCCAGAGATGCTCGTAGCTGTCCTTGGGGGGCAGCTCACTCACATAGCAGATGCTCTCGCTGTAGTTGGGCTTGAAGCTCTCCACGACATCTTTGGGGACTCCAGCCCATTCCTCCAGGGAGAAAAGTGGGGTGAGAGGAGCCACCACCCAGCCCAGCGTGACCTTCATGGGGCAGGGGGGTGATCCTGGGGCAGGGCTGCCCACAGCCGCCTTACCTGGAAGTTGCCGTTGTGGGTGATGAAAAGCTCGTCGAAGTTCTTGCTGGGGTTGGGGATTCGGGGCATGAGGATGACCCACACCCTGTGCAGGAGAGATGTGTCACAGCGGAAGGGCCCCGGCAACGCTGCCCACCACCAGCCCCCCATGCTCACCTTTCCATGCGCACCAGCAGGACGACAAGGACCAGTAAGAGCAGGCAAGAGGCAATGGGGATCAAGACCGTGTGGATCCAGAACCAGTGCAGCTGTTCCTCCACCGTGCCTGGAAAGAGCCAGGGTGACATGGACACCCGGCCAGCACACCCTCATGGCAGTGGGGTGGGCATGCCAGTGGCCCTTTGTGGGTGGCCATGGCATCATCCACAGCAGGGCTTAGCTGCGAGCAGAGGATGGAGAAGGGGCCCATCCCCAAGCCTTGCCACACTGTCACCACAACTGGCTGGTGACCCTGTCCTGGACTGGCTGTGCCAGAGCAGCCCTGCAAAGCTAAGAAAGCCCTGGCAAAAGCCATCAGGTCCTACTGGTGGGGTGCGTTTGGCTTCCAGAAGTGCAAAGGACACAGGGGCCGATGCTGATGCCTGCACTGCAGGTGCCCAGGTGTGTCTTGCCCTACAGCTCAGGCCAGTTTTCCACTTGCTTGGCCACCCCTTGCCTGCTGAGCCCCACCATGCCCCAGACCATTCCATCCCGCCGCAGCCCCCAGGACCTACCCTTGCTGCCCCAGACCACAGGGACGCTCCACTCGCTCCAGAGCTGGGTGCTGCCACAGTACCTGTTGATCTTGCTGCGCACGTAGAAGGTGTAGTACTTCTCATAGTCTACGCTGGGTAAGGAGAAAATGTCTCCATTCACCCGGTGTTCCTGCAGAGAGATGTGGGCCATGCGATGAGAGCTGGTGCTGCTATGGAGGCTGGTGCATGGCTAGTCCCCAGGCACAACCATGGGGGTGCTGTGTCCGGGGGGGCTCTCACCGTCCAGCTGGTGTCCTTGTTGCTCTTGTACTTGACGGTGTGCTCCAGGCACTGGGTTTTGGGGTACGGGGAGGTCCAGGTCAGCTGCAGCTGGTTGCTGCTCATGTTGCGGATGGTCAGGTTGACAGGTGCCTCCGGTTTCACTGCAAGGCACAGGTGATGCCCAGTGAGTGCCCATCCCATACCCTGGTGGCCCTGCCACCAGCTGGGATGTGATGGGGCAGCCCTGGGGACCCACAGTTCTGCTCTTGCCCCACAGCAGCCCCACAGGGGAGAGTAGGTGCCCCTCACCGCTCCGTACCCAGGTCCTGCAGCTCCATGCGCTTGCTGGGGATCTCCAGGGTTCTGCCGCCAACGCTGGCGTTGACGCGGACACGGAAAGGCTGGAACTGGATGATCTCGCTCTGGTTGAAGTGGCAGCCGATGCTGATGCCCTGGTCCTGCAGGTAGTGCTTGCACTCCATCACGGGGGACCTGTTCTCATACCTGTGCCGCAGTGGGTTACCAGGGCTCCCCGAGACCCCACATGCCCCAGCCCTCCCTGGGACACCTCTCCCCAGCACATTCTGTCCCACTTGGCCCAGAGACAGAGCCTCCCCCACCCTGGGCTCGGGGAAGAGAAGCAGCCTGATGCTGGGACCAGTGATGCTGGCAGGAGCCTCCCGTGCTGGACACCCTGCTGTGGGGTGGGCCATGGGGCAGAGGCACCTACCAGTAGTAGAGGGAGTAGTTGGCCGTGAGCGTCTCTCTGCTGCCCCACGTGCAGGTCATGTACTCCTCGTTGAAGAGGACACACTCCACCCCTGCAAGGGACAGACGCGGCTGGGGACTGCTTTAATAAGCAGCTGTGCCAAGGCCCAGAGGTGCACCGGGGAGACACAGCACATGCTAGGGGCATGCACATCCTGCACACCCCTGACAGCCTTCCTCCGTGTGAGCCAAACAGGCCCTGCTCTTCCCAGCAGAGCTGTGGTGCAGTCTGCCTGCAATGCCGGGCCCTCACCACCTTGTTCGCACATGCTGTGCCAGTGATGCCCAGGCTGCTGGCAGACCGACATCTTCCTCCAAAGGACTGCTGGGCAAGCAGCTGTGCCGCCCGCATCTGCGCTGTTGGGTCCTCATGCTGTGGATGTGGTGTTTCACCCTGATTCCTCCATATGCTCCACTTAGTCACCCCATGGCTGCTGTTTGCAGCCCCTGGCACTGTGGGACAGGACAGAAACCCCTCCCTGCCAACCCATTTTCCTTGTCCCATGAGAAAATCCAGGATTTGTGCCCAATGTCTGTGTCCTGGCTAAATTAATCTTGCTGTTACCCTTTTGGGCACTTGCAGGTGCCCATGTGTCCCTGTGTCTGGGTGATGGGGGCTGTGCTTCTCACCACAGCCCCCTGCCACAGGGCGGGGGGCCGAAGACCGGTGGTTTGACCTCTGCAGGCAACACCGCCGAGCCCCGGGAGGCTGAGCAGCCACTCCAGGTGCCCACACCAGCTCCTCTGCCCCCTCCTTCCGCCACGCTGTGCCAGCCCTGGTCCTGCCCACACAGTCAGAGGCCACATCCTGGGCTGGCTGGGGGTTGCAGGGCCACCAGGGTGATGCTGCTCCTTGCACCTTGCACCGTGCCACAGTCCACTCTGGCAGCCACTGGCACAGCTCGTTGCGGGACAAACATTTCCGATGGACTGAGGCTCCTTGCAGAGCCCTTGCAAGTGCCAAACCAGCTGCTGGTGGCCGAGACCTGCCCTGGAGGCTCCCAGAAAATGTTTTTTTTTCCCCCTACAAATCAGGCAGTGGGACACCTGATCCCTTTCAAGGGCCAAACCCATCAGCCAGCACCGCGGGGGCAGGAGAAAGCCAGAGCCGGGCTTTCTTGGGTAGGAATATAACGTGATGGAGGAAATATGTGTTGTACTTTGGCTGTTTCTGCATGTGGAGATGGAGGGCACCTTCCTGGAAGCCCGGGAGGTCCAGGGATTCCAGAGGGGCTGTGTTTCCACATAAAGCTGGTGTTTTATTGACCGCCAGCCATGAAGTGGATTTTTTCTCGGAAAACAACAGCTGGGGTGAGGGTGCTGGGTGGAAAGCGGAGCCACTGTCTCCCATCCCCTGTCCCCTGCCTCTGTGTGTCACCGCTGACATGATCGGGACGGAAAGGGCGTCTGGCACATATCTGCTGGCTGCCGCCCTGCCCGGCTGATGCACAGGGCTGATAGGATCTGCACATCACATCCTGCTGCTGACCCCTGCCTCGGCCCGCCATGGGGACTCCCATGGCCAGGATCCCTCCTGGCAGTGCTGTGGGGCCAGTAGAGCCATGGGGCCAGGAGCTGTAGGGCCAGGAGTGCTGCAGGGCTGGTAGCCATGGGGCCAGTGGCGCCAGTGATGCTCCAGCGCCGGGGCAGGAGCAAGGACACCCAAAAGGGCTCCCTGGCACAGCCCGACTCTACCGGCAGCCCCGTTGCAAGGGGCCATGTACATGCCCAGGGGCTCTGGCACATCAGGGGATGGTGGGGGCTCTGGCACATGCCCCAACGGCTCGCCAGTCCACACAGCCCCACGTCCTGTCCTCCTCACCTGCCATCACCGAGGAGCCATATCCCCCAGCCTCACCACCCATAGGGCACCGCAGCCTCCCACCCCCCACACCATGTGCGCCCTTACCTGGGGAGCTCTGCGCAGCAGCAAGGTAGGGGCCCAGCCCACAGAGGAGGAGGAGGATGGGCATGAGGAAGGTGCTGGGCACTGCCATGGCGGCGTGAGCCGTGGAATGTGTGCGAGCAGCCCCCGCACACAGCCCTCCGTGCAGGGCAGCCAGCTTCCGCACCCGCGCTGCTTCCTGCCCCACAGCACCACCCGCCGCCAAGGGGCCCACGCCACGTCACACCCCACGGGTCACACCGATGGGGACCGTGGCTCACTACCCCAGGGCCCCATGGTTCAGTCCAACGGGGTCCCACACCTCATCCCCCTGGGCCCCCCATGCTGCCTGCCCAGGCCTCACGGCTCACCCCCCCGGACCCCACCGCCTGCCTCCCCGGGACTCCCCTGGTTCATCCCGCCGTGTTCCCACAGCTCACCCCGCCGTGCCGCAGT